GGAACTGTAAGGATTTTCACCCCCCCTCCCTCCCCCACTTTCCATCCAACCTTTTCAACCAAAATTATTATTTTATTTGAAATTTTATTAATATAAGAAATTATGAATTGTTATAATCTATATTGTTATTATTTTAATACATTGTTATAATCTATTATTATTTATTATTTATTCTAAAGATTTACACTACTTATTTTAATTTTTTTTTATTATTATTATTTTTGATGGCCGTCAAAGCGAGCCCCAACACTTTCTCCGGCGGTTTCCCCGGATCCACCATAGATATACTATCTGTAAATAAAATAAATAGAAATTAGATATCGCTTACATTATTTGTAATTAAAATACATACCAATCAAAACTCCATAAAAATGTGGAAACGCCTTCAATCTCTTCTTCCCACTAACTCCGTCGATGTTATATTGCACGATCATTTCCTCAAATAAATAAATAAACAATAAATAGATAATAACATAATATGTACAAGCGGCTAATGCCGTTTAATAAATATATGTACATATATATGTATGTATACAGTTTGTCAAGTAATTGTTTGCTAAATAAAAATGGCACAAAAATTTAATTTAAAGTATTTTTAAATTAATTTAATTTAATTCAAAAATTAAAATTTTTTATTTTGCAAACAATTACTTGACATACTGTATATAAATATTTCTCACTTTTCCGAGCGGCTAATGCCGTTTAATAAATATATGTATGTACATATGTACATATATAAATATTTCTCACTTTTCCGAGCGGCTAATGCCGTATGTACATATGTACGTATATTTAACGGCCGCTCGGTATTTAATAAATATTATATGCACATTACTTTTTAATTGTACTCACCAGAATTGATTTTGTTTTGGCCACTTAAAATTTTTTTTAAACTTTCACTTAAACTCTTCGCAAATGCTTGTGATTTAGGTGCAACTTGAACATCAAATGCAAAGGAGAAGGGAGAGGCAAGACGAACCCGAAAATTGACAACCGAAAATTCTGGCGCGTGCCAGGTATAGTCGACCAAAGCAATGCCTTGTAATTAGAATCGCACAAGGCTAATAATCAAACATGAACATATTGGCTTTGCCTAAAGCAAATTATTAATACATTTCAATATACCATATGATTAGATAAGAAAAATTAATTAAATATAATCTTAAATATATACAAATATTTCAACATATTTTAAAAAGGGTATTCTGACGTCGCTTCCATTCATTTGGTTTTGGACACCGATTTTTTTTCTCTCCCTCCCTCCATCTACATCTCTCAAATTGTCTCTCTGTCGCGTGCCTCTGTTCCGAAACTATGACGTAGAAGCTTCGAGAATCATCGTCGAAAACCAAAAGCAGGTAGAAGTTTCGTTTCCCCTTTCGTTTCGGACTTGAGTAAACGAAGCCCATGCAATTTGTTTTTGTTTTTCGACAATGTCGCCAGGAATCGTCGGGGTAAGGAATTTTGGTACTGAAGGGAGCAGAAAGTAGGCTTTGAGCATGACGTTTCACACATTTATACTGTGTGTGTGTGGCAGAGCTCGGGCAGAGAAATTTCCTATGCCCCCGAGATAGGGCCGTGCCGACCTCTGCTGTATATAGCAACTGTATATAAAAGAAAGTCGTGTTATATGTTACACCACTTATAACTCAAGAACGGCAGAACGGATTTAGCTGAAAATTGGTAGGGAGGTAGCTTAGAGCCAGGAGACGGACATAGGATACTTTTTATCCCGTTCGACAACGGGAATTATACTCCTCCGAAATGGCTGCTTTTATAGAAATGAATAACAATAAGTAGGCTGAGAGCGTAACGTATATATAAAAGAAAGTCGTGTTTTATGTTACACCACTTATAAATCAAGAACGGAAGAACAGGTTTGAGTGAAAATTGGTAGGGAGGTAGCTTAGAGCCATGAGAAGGACATAGGATACTTTTTGTCCCGTTCGACAGCGCGAATTATACTCCACCGAACTATACTCCACCGAACTACACTCCACTTGTAGTAATGAATAAAAGTAAGTAAGCTGTGAGCGTAACGTATCATATTTTTATGTACGATATTATGTATTTATACCAGTGGTCGGCACCCCAATACATTGATATTATTTTACCGCATTAGTGTTAGTAACGAATAGCAGAAAGTACCCTCCAGTACCAAAATTCCTTACCCCGACGTTTCCTGGCGACATTGTCGAAAAACAAAAACAAATTGCATGGGCTTCGTTTACTCAAGTCCGAAACGAAAGGGGAAACGAAACTTCTACCTGCTTTCGGTTTTCGACAATAGTTCTCGAAGCTTCTACGTCATATTTTCGGTGCAGAGGCACGCGACAGAGAGACAATTAGAGAGATGTAGATGGAGGGAAGGGAGAGAAAGAAAATCTGTGCCGAAAACCAAATGAATGGAAGCGACGTCAGAATACCCTTTTTAAAATATGTTGAAATATTTTTATATATTTAAGATTATATTTAATAAATTTTTCTTTTCTAATCATATGGTATATTGAAATGTATTAATAATTTGCTTTAGGCAAAGCCAATATGTTCATGTTTGATTATAAGCCTTGTGCGATTCTAATTACAAGGCATTGCTTTGGTCGACTATACCCTGGCACGCGCCAGAATTTTCGGTTGTCAATTTTCGGTTTCGTCTTGCCTCTCCCCTTCTCCTTTGCATTTGCTGTTCAATTTGCATCGGAATTACACGCGTTTGTTGCGTTTAAAGTTAAATTTTTCAAAAAACATTTACATAAGTGACCTAGTGATACTAACTTATTCTGGTGAGTAGTGCATATAATTAACTTATTTATTAAATACCGAGCGGCCGTTCAATATATGTATGTATGTATGTATGTATGTATGTATGTATGTATATATATTTATTAAACGGCATTAGCCGCTCGGAAAAGTGAGAAATATTTATATATGTACATATGTACATATATAATATAATAGGCCGCGGCATGAAGGAAGAATGTGTAAGTATAATATTTATAAATTAAATATAAAAAAAATTTTAATACCTATTAATTTTTGCAGACTACCGCAGTGACGAACTTATTGAAGCGCTGGAGCCCTTACAAAGTCATTAAAATATATTTTCGTGGAGGACCTGATCGTCAATTACAATATTGACGGGTAAAGTGGTAAGAGGAGATTAAAGTCGTTTCCAAATTTTTATGGAATTTTGATTGGTATGTATTTTAATTACAAACAATGTAAGATATATCTAATTTCTATTTATTTTATTTACAGATAGTATATCTATGGTGGATCCGGGAAACCGCCGGAGAAATTGTTGGGGCACGCTTTGACGGCCATCAAAAATAATAATAATAAAAAAAAAATTAAAATAAGTAAATGAATAAAATAAGTAGTATAAATCTTTAGAATAAATAATAAATAATAATAGATTATAACAATATATTATAACAATAACAATATAGATTATAACTATTCATAATTTCTTATATTAATAAAATTTCAAATAAAATAATAATTTTGGTTGAAAAATTGGATGGAAAAGGGTGGGGGGGGGGGGGGGGAGGTGAAAATCCTTACAGTTCCTCAGTGAATCCCTAATGAATCCCGTAAGATTCCTCACGGTATACCTCAGGGATTCCTTGGGGTATTTCCTCAACGATTCCTCAGAGTATACCTCAGGGATTCCTTGGGGTATTTCCTCAACGATTCCTCAGAGTATACCTCAGGGATTCCCTGGGGTATTTAGTTCGAAATGCTCTTCGAATAACTGCAGGAATCGTGCAGTATTCCTCGAGTTGTTCGAATTCCTCGATGTGAGGAACTCTTCTATGGAAATTCCTTGATGGTTTGTATGAAACATACCTAGAGGATTCCTCGGGTGGCAATACTAGTACCTAGACGATTCCTTCAGTAATCCTTGAGGTATGGTACTGAAGGGTAGGCTGTGAGCATGACTGTGTGTGTGTGGCAGAGCTCGGGCAGAGAAATTTCCTATGCCCCCGAGATAGGGCCGTGCCGACCTCTGATTTATACATTAATAGATATCTATATATATTTTATCATAGGAAAAAAGTATCCTATGTCCTTCTCCTGGCTCTAAGCTACCTCCCTACCAATTTTCACTCAAATCTGTTCTTCCGTTCTTGATTTATAAGTGGTGTAACATATAACACGACTTTCTTTTATATATATAGATAGATATCTATAAATGTATAAATACATAATATCGTACATAAAAATATGATACGTTACGCTCACAGCCTACTTACTTTTATTCATTACTATAAGTGGAGTATAGTTCGGTGGAGTATAATTCGCGCTGTCGAACGGGACAAAAAGTATCCTATGTCCTTCTCCTGGCTCTAAGCTACCTCCCTACCAATTTTCACTCAAATCTGTTCTTCCGTTCTTGATTTATAAGTGGTGTAACATATAACACGACTTTCTTTTATATATATAGATAGATATCTATAAATGTATAAATACATAATATCGTACATAAAAATATGATACGTTACGCTCACAGCCTACTTACTTTTATTCATTACTATAAGTGGAGTATAGTTCGGTGGAGTATAATTCGCGCTGTCGAACGGGACAAAAAGTATCCTATGTCCTTCTCATGGCTCTAAGCTACCTCCCTACCAATTTTCAATCAAATCTGTTCTTCCGTTCTTGATTTATAAGTGGTGTAACATATAACACGACTTTCTTTTATATATATAGAAATTACTTACAAATTCTTCAAGACTTCATGAACATCATGCGTTGGTCAGGTTGTTTGAGAGTGCTTGAGAGCGCATGCCAAATGATGACTATAAAGTTGTCATCAAATCAGATAAACGACCATCTGGAACACACGAACGCACATTTAATGCTCCAACAGTAGACGAAGTTGCCATCCTGATTGTTGGTGAACAATTTGAAAAACGCGAAATTTACGTCGCTCTGGGCCTCAAAATTCAACTTCTCATATGGCATTGCAAACCCATGATGTTTTGGCAAGGAGAAGATGGATATTATTTTAATATTAAAATGATAAATCCATTGAATGGTAAAGTAAACTGTATTATTTGCCTTTGAAATGGTTAATTATCAAATTTTTAATTTCAGGTGAAGAAACTACAAAGAAAGTTAGCTCAATGAATTATTATGCATATCGTTTGATGATTCGTCAAAATGCTGACAACTATTTGCTGCGGTTTCGTCGATTGTTTCAGCAGTATTGCGTTGACATGTATGTAAAAATAGAAACGGATCGTTTAACATTTATTAGGTTGAACCAAGCCAAACTGCGTTCTGAGGAGTACATCCATTTACGTGATGCAGTTAGTACTGAAGGAAATGCAGCTAATATTGGTCGATTAACTATTCTGCCGGCGACGTACATTGGTAGCCCACGTCATTTGCATGAACATGCACAAGATGCAATGACATATGTTCGTCATTACGGCCGGCCAGATCTCTTTATTACTTTTACCTGTAATCCAAAATGGATAGAAATTACTCAATTGCTGCTTCCCGGACAAACATCAAATGATAGACACGACATCACAGCACGTATATTCAGGCTAAAAATTCGGTCCCTGATGAACTTTATTGTTAAACAACGCGTCTTTGGAGATACTCGATGCTGGATGTATTCAATCGAATGGCAAAAGCGAGGCCTGCCGCACGCACACATTCTTATTTGGTTAGTGGAAAGAATTCAGCCTGACCAAATAGATGATATCATATGTGCCGAGATTCCTGATCATGATGATGTTGTTACTACTAATATGATTCATGGACCGTGTGGTGCCATCAACCCCCAATCACCTTGCATGGTCGATGGAAAGTGCTCTAAACGATATCCACGGAAATTAACGGCGGAGACTGTCACTGGCAACGATGGGTATCCGCTGTATCGGCGTCGATCACCAGATGACAACGGTCGAACTGTCACAACGAAAGTGAAAAGAATGGATTTCGTTGTCGACAACAGTTGCATTGTTCCATATTCGCCACTTATTTCTAAAACGTTCAAGACACATTGCAACGTTGAATACTGCAATTCAGTTAAGTCCATAAAATATATTTGCAAATATGTCACGAAATTGCAATCCTCGAATACCAACGATGAAATTTCACGCTATCAAGTTGGTCGTTATGTGAACTGTAATGAAGCGATTTGGCGTATATTCGGATTTCCCATTCACGAACGTCATCCTACTGTTACACATTTGGCGGTGCATCTAGAGAATGGTCAACGAGTATATTTCACGGCTTCGAATGCTATGCAACGTGGTGAAACACCTCCAGCAACTACATTGACCAGTTTTTTGCAATCTGCCAAAGGATCAGTTTGCACGAACTTTGCTTTACTCGGAGATGCCACGTTATTATACTTGGAATGCTTCATCCAAGAATTTTCAAAGACGGAAGCAAGGTGATTCGGTTTCTGGGTATCCAGATTTGCGTTCTACTGAAGCTCTTGGTCGTATGTATACAGTTCATCCAAAGAATGATGAATGTTTCTATTTGCGGTTGTTGCTGGTAAATGTGCGTGGGCCAACTTCATTTGAGACACTACGAACTGTTAATGGTGTAATATTCCCAACATATCGTGCTGCATGTGAAGAATTGAACTTATTAGAAAACGATACCCATTGGGTACGACAATCGCTGAAGCCATTATCTCTGCATCTCCAAGTCAGATACGCACATTATTCGCTATCATAATTTCGACATGTTTTCCATCAAACCCATGTAACCTGTGGCACAAATACAAGGATAGTATGTCAGAAGATATTTTACATCAAAGACGTGTCAGTTCCAGAAATCACGATATTGAGATGAATGAGGAGATACATAATCGTGCTTTACTCTTGATCGAAGATATGTGTTACCTCATGTGCGGTAATTTATTAATCAGGTTAGGAATGCCAGCGCCAAATCGTGAAATGAATGGCGCATTTAATCGAGAATTGGAACGGGAACGTGAATATGATCACCAGGAATTAGATTTAGTAGTTCAAAGGAATGTACCCCTGTTGAATTACCAACAAAAGGAAGTTTATGATACTTTAATGAAGGCAATCGCTGATGAAAATGGTGGTTTATATTTCCTAGATGCCCCTGGTGGAACTGGCAAGACATTCCTTATGTCATTAGTTTTAGCAACTGTTTAATAAAATATAAAATTAAAAAATTAATGAATAAAAATGAAAAAAACGAATTGAAAACTAAAAAAAAATAAGGTGATGAAGGGCAAGATGAACAAGATGAGGTCCCAAAGAAGATCCCGAAGATAAAAAATAAAAAAATTATAAAATATATAAGAAAATAAATAAAAAGAAAATAAAATAAAAAAAGAAATAAAAAAAATAAGATAAAAGTGAAACCGATTGGAAAAAACATTGTTCATTGTTTATAATTTAATTTAAAATAAGAAAATAAATAAATATCAGAGAAGTCGGGCAGCAAAAAGTTTTTTTTTTTTTATATAAAAATATTATTGGGAAAAAATTGTTAAAAATAGTTATATATGAAATATAGTTTAATTTAAAATAAGAAAATAAATAAATATCAGAGAAGTCGAGAAGTGTTTATAATAACACCACATTATTATTATATAAAATTAATTGTTGAAAGATTAATTTGGATTTAATTGATGACCCTCTTGAGTGCTTTCGCCACCCTGGAGTACAACGGCTATGGGCCAATTGAAGAGAGTGAACCGGTAATTGTTTTATTCAGTTAAATAAATGGTAAAAAAAATAAAAAATATATATTTAAAAAAAAAGAGCAGAGGGTGTCTTAAACGTCGGAGATTGGAAAAGTCCAAAGTCTTTTATTATTTTTAATAAAATGTAAAATTAAAAAATCAACGAATTAAAATGGAAAAAAACGAATTGAAAACTAAACAAAAAATAAGATGATGATGGTCAAGCTGGACAAAATGAAGAACAAAATGAGGCGACGAAGGTCCCGAAGATGAAAAATAAAAAAATTATAAAATATATAATAAAATAAATAAAAAGAAAATAAAATAAAAAAAGATAAATAAATAATTAATGGCCATATTAAGTGCGTTTGGAACCCTTGAATTTAACGGCTATTTTATTTCGTTAGATATATGGTTAAAAGAGAAGGAGGTGTCTCAAACGTTGGAGATTGGAATAGACCACAGTGTTTTATTATTTTTGATAAAATGTAAAATTAAAAAATCAACGAATTAAAATGGAAAAAACGAATTTAAAAATAAAAAAAAAGAAGATGATGTTGGGCAAGCTCGACAAAATGAAGAACAAAATGAGGAGACCAAGGTCCCGAAGATGTAAAATAAAAAAATTATAAAATATGTAATAAAATAAATAAAAAGCAAAAAAAGGATAAATAAGAGAAGGGGGTGTTTTAAACGTTGGAGATTGGAAAAGACCACAGTCATTTATCATTTTTAATAAAATGTAAAATAAAAAATGGAATAAAATAAAAATAAATATATGTATAAGATCCATATCATCGTCGAGATCATCGTCTCCAGATCACCCATATGGTTGAAAAATAAAAAAAATTAAATATAGACGAAAATAAATGAAAATCAGAAGGCCGTTGATTCGACAATGAAATGTTCATCGTTAATTGTTTAATTTAAAATGAGAAAATAAATAAATATCAGAGAAGTCGAAAAGAAAAAAATAAAAATAAAAAGAATACAAAAATAAAATAGTTGTGGCTCCTTGAGCGGCTGAGCTCCGACTGATTGAAAAGAAATGCTTGTGCCCCTTATATACCCCACATTTTGGCCAGAAAATCGAATGCAAAGCCTTCTTGGTTTGGAATAAACTTGAAAACGATTAAAAATTGGGCGCGAAAGGCGATAACAATAACCGATAACAACGGAAAACCAACCTACTATGTCTAAAAGCAGGTTGGCATCGCTGGCGACACGCAGGCGTTAGTACCTTTACGCATGTTTTGTTTTGTTTCTGACACGACACACGATAAATAATAAAATTATTATTTTTACTTTAGCCATGAGTAGTTTAAAGTCCGATTTGGATGAATTGCTGCAGAGTGATCAGAAGAGCTTCAATGTGAAGCTGCCACAGTTGAAGGTCCCAAGTCTGGGACTATTTTCCAAAAACACGGAGCCGGAGGCCAATAGCTGGCTAAAGGACACCCAGGACTCCTGTTGTCCCAAACTGGTAGGATTACATTGAGTCCTAAACCCTAAATAATTTATTTATAATCCATTTTCGTTTATATTTCAGTCGCGACTGCAGAGAATTGTGGGTTTTGTGGCCTGTTTGGGAATGGGAGGACTCTGCATATCCCTATCGACTCTATACATTCCCGTTCTTATCTTGAAAGCCCGAAAGTTTGCCTTGCTCTACACCCTGGGCAGTCTCTTCTTTATACTAAGCTTTTGCTTTTTGTCCGGATTCGGAGCCTTTCTGCGACAGATGTTCTCAAAGCCGAGACTCCTGACTTCCATATCGTACAGTTCCTGCCTGTTGTTAACCCTGTATTGTGCCTTGGTGGCCAAAAGCACCGCATTCACAGTTCTGTTTGCTGTGGCGCAAATAATAGCATTACTGTTAATGGTACTGGGTATGGTTCCGGGTGGAGCTACGGGTCTCAAGTTCTTTGGGCAATTGTTCAAGACCAGCGTTTCGGCCTCGACAAGGGCGCTGCCAGTATAAGCCACGAAGAGCAATAAAACAAAACGAATCATCTCCAACCACCGCAGCAACGAACGATATAACTTATTTAACTCATTGATCCAAAATAAAACTTATTTGTGATATAACGCCTCTCAAAAGTAACCATATTGTTTTTTTTAATTATTTTCTCAACTTACTCATTGGGAAAATCAATGCTCGCTTATCAGAAATTGCAATTATAAATGCGAACTATGACGCGATTCTGCTACGCTGGAAGACTCTCTTTATAGATTGGTCTTTTACGACGCAATTGTGTATATGGGGGGAGGGTTATATTAAAATTATTTATTTGTATCTTGATCATAAAACTAATCTTCGATTTCTCCATTTTGTCATTCCACTGGAGTCTCCAGCAGTGGGCCTATCCTTTGACTTGGCTTCTCCATAGGTCAGTCCTCAATCTCGCCCAGATACAAGGTTTTATCGCTGGATCCAGACAAAATTAAAGGTTCTTTCGGACTGAAATCCACATCGTTTACACTGCCATTATGTCCTGGCAGCTTGTATAGAATGCGCCTCGTGTTGACATCCCAAATGTAGACATGCCGATCGGCCGAACCGCAGGATATTTTGTCGCTTCCCGGTGACCAAGCGCAGCGAAGCAGATTCTTCTCAAAGTTGTGCTGATGGCCCTGGAATACCTTTACACACCGCTCGCCAGGAGCATAGGGCCTCACGTCCCACACTCTCAGCGTGTAGCATTGGTAAGGACGAAATCACCTTCCGGCGTTTACATCGTTTACACTGCCATTATGTCCTGGCAGCTTGTATAGAATGCGCCTCGTGTTGACATCCCAAATGTAGACATGCCGATTGGCCGATCGGCCATACGGCCACACCATACGGCGTAAAATGGGCTTCCATTACAGCGCCACTGTGTCCGGATAGAGCCATTATATTCTCACAGTCACCGTAAACCTGCCAGATGTCTGCAAAACAATAATAATGAATGAAAAGAATATACAAAACTGACTCAAAATTTCACTCACGAATCTGCCTATCAAACCCGGAGGATAGCAGCATCTCTCCCTCCGGATGAAATTCTGTGGTAAAGATCTCTCCCTCATGACCCTCTCAAATTTAACAACGAACCAAAAGGATTGTGTTGCGCTTCCGGGAAAGTGAAATTGCCTCAACTTGAAGCACCACCAGAGCCTCTGCACTCTCTATTGATATTTGTAAGAAATCAATATTAAAACTATTTCTATTAAATCTATATATATAAAAGAATACTGTATATGTATACTGTATATAGCAATCTATATCTATATATATAAAGGAAAGTCGTGTTTTATGCTACACCACTTATAAATCAAGAACGGAAGAACAGATTTGAGTGAAAATTGGTAGGGAGGTAGCTTAGAGCCAGGAGAAGGACATAGGATACTTTTTGTCCCGTTCGACAGCGTTCCTCCCTGGCCCATACTTTTTTATTTAGGCAGACAGCTAAGAAGAAAATGTCAAATGAAAATGTCAAATGTCAAAATGTCAGTTAGAAACGAAGTCAAATTCAAAGTCAGGCTCTCAAATTCAACAACGAACCAAAAGGATTGTGTTGCGCTTCCGGGAAAGTGAAATTGCCTCAACTTGAAGCACCACCAGAGCCTCTGCACTCTCTATTGATATTTGTAAGAAATCAATATTAAAACTATTTCTATTAAATCTATATATATAAAAGAATACTGTATATGTATACTGTATATAGCAATCTATTCTATATATAT